AAACACTGAAACTTACCTTGTTGACGAGCGTTGTAGGGACCAACACACAAATCCCAAATTTCACCGACCTAAAGAAACAATTTACAATATCAAAAAAAAAAAAAAAAAAAAAACAATTTACAGTTTCATTTCATATTCACCATCTCTGATTTCGCAAATGAAGAAGAAGAATAAGAAGCAAGCTATAATAAATGACGTTACTGTTCCGATGCGAATGATACACTCAACGGTGAGGGAGGATCATGGAACGATGTCCAGGTCTTCTTCCATCTTTTTTGTTGCGGCGTAGCAGTAACGCATTAGAGACACAACATTTACAAAACTGAGTCTCTTTTGTTGCTTCGACCCAGATCGAAATAGTGATGTTATAATATTCTGTGATTATAGTTTTCAAATATATATATATATATATATATATATATATATATATATATATATATATATATATATATATTCTGTGATTATTATCTTAAACTATCATTAAGTTTTTTATTTTTTATTTTATTTTTGATACATATCATTGTAAGATTAAATGTAATAATTTCTACTGATATCAATGAATTATAACACATATGTTTACGTACACATGATATAATCTTTTTCCCAATAAACTTATATATAACGTTCAAGAAATATATCTTAATCTTAGTATTATTAAAAAAAATTATAATGAAAGTATGACTTTTATGTTTATTATTATTATTATAACAGTTCAATTTTGATAAATATTGTAATATATTTTTAAATATATATATATTTATTTAAATATATTTTATATCTTAAATAGTGTCGATCTTACGATCCGTGTCGATCTTACGATTTACGATTTTTTTACCCCCTTTCGATCTTAGATAAGATCTCGATTTTAACAACCTTGCATTAGTCAAACCCAAGAGCATGAACGAGAAAATACTAATGCGTGGAGGACTAGTATAGCTTTAGATATGTGAAGAGTTGTTGCTTACTAATTTTGAATGTTTGTTAAAAATTATATCATGTTTTGCTGATTGGAAAAATTATATTAGATTTTACTTTGTTTTTATTAATTTCAATGCATTTCTTTGTTTTTTTTATTGACTCTTGTAATTTTGAATGTTTGTTAAAAAATCATATGATTTTTAAAAATATTATAAATCCATATTGTCCTTTCAAATCTTATAAATTCTATTAAAATTCTTTAAATCTGAATCTTATAAAATCTTGATTGTAAAAAAAGTCTTTTAAAAAAGTCTTTAAAGTCCCTCCAATCCTAAATAGTCTTTTAAAATTTATAAAAAAAATTATCTCAAAAAAATCTTTTAAAATTCTAATCCAATACACCCCTTATATTAATTGGAAAAATTAGATATGGGACATGAAGAAGGGACATATGATTTGGATCCCTTGAAAACAAGGGAAGTGATTCGAAAACTCATTAACAGCTAAAATTCCCACTATAACAAAAACCCACCATGAAACAGATCTAACGTGGGTTTTAGATTATTGTGCCCTTTAGGGTCTGTTTGGGAGATGGTTTTAGGAGAGGAAGAGAAGGGAAGGAAGGATTTTAGGAAGCTATTCTCTTGTTTGTGAGTTAAATAAAACGAGGGAAAGATATTGTGGGGTTTTACTAAACCTTCCAAAATCTCCCTTCTTCTTAAAATTTAAGTTCCCCCTATTTCAAGAGGTTTAAGAGATAAAATATTTAAAATTACTTTTTTACCCTTCCCATTAAAATCAGAACATCTTCTCTCTTACTCTTTCTCTCTCCCTGTGTCGCATTCAAGTTTCTGTCTGCTGAAGTTACTAATCCATATTTTTTTAATAAAAAATTAAAATCCATATTTTTTACTAATCATATCTGTAATCAGAACATCTTCTCTCTCTTACTCTTTCTCTCTCCCTGCGTCGCATTCAAGTTTCTGTCTGCTGTTTTTATTTTATTAAAAAAATTCTTTAGAGAGAGAAAATAATTTTTAGAGAGAGAATATTTTTTAATAAAAATTAAATGATTAAATTTTTTAGAAATTTTAAATTAAATTTAATTTGTAAAGTATAATAATTATATTAATTTTAAAAAAGGGTAAAATGGTAAAAATATCTCATTGATCCTCCATTATCCTCCCATTCCATTTTTTTGACTCCCAAGCAAGGAAAGGGGATACCCTCCAATTTCCTCCCCTTCCTTCCCTTCCCTCTCCCTTGAATCCCCTTCCTTCCCTTCCCCTCTAAACTCCCAAACAAAGCCTTAATTAATTAAAAATTGTCACAATGTCCCCATTTTTAAACTATTTAAAAAATTTGACATTTTCTCTAAACATAACATTAATCTGTCCTTATTTGACTGTTGATCACATTAATACTCGAGCATGCAACCCATATACTCGAGTAGATTCGCAGGTTAAAGGTGTTCATACGTTCCATGAGTTTATACTCGAATATTGACCCTGATACTTGAGTATGTGGTTGTATACCCGATTATCATACCCTGATATTCGAGTATTTTTGGGCCAGAAACCCCAATATTAGTGGGATTCGGTCTTATTTGTCATTTACTCATTTTTTACACCAAAATATCTGTAATTTCTCATCTCTATTTCAACCCATCAAGATTTTATTTCATCCTACTCCAAAGCCTTAATCTTGTGAAAATATTGTCATTACACTTACATATTCCAAAAAAAATTCAAAAATCTGAACCCTAGACTCAATTTCGTGTGAAAGATGAGCTCAAGTTCAACACTTATCCTACAATTATTTACCACAATGAGAGGCAACTTAAAGGTTTCAATGGTCTCCAATTTGAAGGAAAACGAAAACAATGAAAATCAAACAGGCACTACATACAATGAACTTAAGGGGAGAATTCACCAAAAAATGGGGCTACAAGGCAGCCAATACATTCATCGCATGATAACCAGATTAGAGACTTTAGTTGATAAGGATATAATATACTGCATTGGTAATGATATCAATGATGATGAAGATATAGAATTTGTCACATATGCATTTATTGATCAGAAAGTACTAAAATTTATTGAGATAACAAAGACCCACCATGAAACACAGATCTCCATAGTTCTTACTTCTTACAAGCATCAATGCACGGACACGCAAGTTTTTGAAAAAATTGTGTGACGGACACGCTCCGACACGCAGTCAATATTTGGGAACACGCGGTCAACTCTCAGACACGCAGTCAACTTTTTCCGACACGCGATCAACGCTCGGACACGCTCGGACACGTTTTTTTTTTTTAATCTTAATTTTATTTGTTAACTAAATATAAAAGAAATTATTTATAAATTATTTATAAATTATTTATAAATTGATTTTTTTCTGTTATGAAATTTGACATGAAAAATTAACAAAGTACGAAAAATTATTTATATTTATATTTATGTTATGAAATTTAAATATTTGATTGGTTATATGACTTATTATGGACTCTTATATGTATTAAATATAAATTATATTACATATATTAAAAAATTTATTTAATATCAAAACGTGTCCCAACGTGTCAAAATATAACATTTTTTTAAAATTAATGTATCGGTGTGTCGTGTCGTGTCTCGTGTCCCGTGTCCGTGCATCATAGCTTACAAGAAGATCGTACGAATTGAACTTTTACATTATTTTTCTGTATTGTCAAAAAGATATGTCAGTTTATGCGTACACCTACTATTTCATATATTTAATATAAGACCCATGATATTACCCAATGACTTTCAAATTTGAATTTGGCTTGAGGCTTAAGGCATTAAGAGTAAATGTTCCGCATGAGTGACTTATGCCTAATTTGGAATTATCGCTACAAAATAAATCGTCTGTATCATTCAATATTTTCCTCACTCCCACGTACAGCGTATCTCATGATTGAGATATATAGCCATGGTATGAGGCCAGGACTAACCGTTTTCCCCAAGCCTTGGCTTATACATAGTTGTCTAGCTCCAAAGCACCTTGACCAATGTGACTGAGTTCTTTTTTAACTCATAGCATCTTGACCAACGTGACTGAGTTCTTTTTCATTAGAAGAATAAAAGTTTAGATTAGGGAAAGGCAAGAAAATCATCAACCTCATTGATGGTTTACATATCACCTACTAGAGAGGGAAACTTAGAATCAAACCCAAGTCACGGCTAAAGTGGGATGAAAGTTCAGCAAGATGTACCAACCCTCATTGGCATCGTGACTAAGTTATGATTCCTTACACCATGAGCTCATCTTGGCTCCTACGAACATCATCATCTTCTCACTTTGGGTTGAACATCCACACTCACTCATTACTCCAAACTAGTAATTAAATTTTAAATAAGGAAAAAAGACTGAGGTAGAATATTCTTACTATCAATTTTTTCTATTATCACTCAACTACCACTCTAATCAGTAATCACCATTGGATTAGAGAAAAAATTGAATGAAGAGAGAGAAAAGAAAAATAACTTTTAAATCCAATTGTGATTAGAATGATAGTAAAATGATAGTAAAAAAAAATAGTAAAAATATCCTATCTAAAAAAAATTATGAAAGGTTTGTAAGCAACACATGAATTCCTTTAAAACTCAAATAGAAAATTTAAAAAATGTAAAATTGTGCAACTATGACTACTTAATTGAACTTTTTTTTGGCATTTTATGGACAAATATTTATGCACACCTTGGTATCGTAATACAGCCTCTATTTTATGTGTGTATGTGTGCTGCACCCGATATGGACCATTCATGAAAATGATGTTATGCGCCATAAACGAACCCACAAGGCACAGGATAGCTAAAGTGAGCAGACCCAAAATTGAAAGGAGGGTTAAGGGTTATTTACCCAAATATTAATGTATCCCATGTCAAGGCCGTAGGCAGCATGCATTAAAAAAATGGTCAATGCAGCATTGAGTGGAACATCCTAGTGTTAAAAGAGTTGAACAACCTTCGATCATCCTAATGAAATTCAGGTTCAACAGAAAATTGCCCAAAGTCATTCTTCTGAAGACATTTCCTTCGAAATGGAAAATGATTACAATAATACCATAAGGTGTTATTCATATGCTACACTATGATCATATGTGCACAAAATGGCAGTCACAAATGATAAATCTTACTGATCTTGGGCCAAAAAGAAAGGAAAGGGAAAGGGGAGGGGGGCCTATACATAGAAAATCTCACCAACATATAAGAGAGACCAACTGTACACAAAATGACAATCGGAAATGATAGATATTATACTAATCTTTGAGCCAAAGGGAAGGAAAAGTAAAGGGTAGGGGGCTACACATAGAAAATCTGACCAACATTTAAGAGACTCTCATGAGGAACATTGAAGATCACGCTATTTTCCCTGCATATCTTCCTAAGAAATGCATATATATAATCAACAGCTATTTTCTTGTAGAATCTTGAGTCCCTACTCGCCCTCACAACTGTGTTTCCAAGTATGTGAACAACCCCAGCATCCCTGCAGTTGTTTAAAAATTCAAGTTCACCAACCTCATTCTGGCTGCTTCTACTTGCTTGACTAGAGGACTGAACAGTAACAATCACATGTGATGGAGATCCAGCTGGAACTATGGAATCTACTGATGAAATTGTAATATCCATATTCAATGAAGCTGTGTTTCCATTGTTGTTCAAAATGCCATCTCTTCTCTGCTCAGTTTGTTGATAATATATACTTTCTTCCTCTGAATCTGAACAACCCTCCATCATAGACTCAAGCCGAACAAACATGAAAAGGTTATGAAAGAGTTTTTTCTCAAAATCATCATCTTTCTTATGCAGGTCTTTATATCCATACCGTGCCACACAACGAAACATGTGGAAATTCTTTGGTCCAATCCTCTTCACAAGGAACCTCTCTTCTTCTGGGACAGTGTAGACAGGAAGATACTTCACACATACAAAAACAACAACAGAATGGATGGCTGGTAGATTGGTGATGAAATGAGAAAAGATGTGGGGTACTCCACTTGCAAGCTCCGTGTAGACTAGCCCGATTCCGGGCACCCGAACAAGTCCTAAACTTGGTCCAAGCCCAAGAATCCATGCCATTGAAACCTTACTATGCATTTCAAACTCGTAACGTTTCAATGTGCCATAATGCCAAACATACATAATTACAAGAAATGTTCCAGCAATTGCAAGGGGAGCCCACCCACCTTGATCAACTTTGAAGAGTACAGCGAAGAAGTATGTGAGTTCCACAATCAATGATAAGCCAGTGAACATGATGACTAGAATCCAATGGCAGCGCCACACTAATATCATGATTAAAATCATAAGTAATGTTGTAACCAGCATCACTATCACAACTGCAGTACCTGTCATAACAATGATAATTATAGAATTGTTTGTACGCTTAAAAGAAAGACAGCAATGACATAGTAAATTCAGAGGAACAGCGGTAAACAAGTCAATGAGCAGAATATAGTTCCCTAAACTGTATGTTGTTCTCACTGATGAAATGCATATGTAGGACTTCTTACACCCTCTGATGTTAAAAAAAAAAAAAAAAAGAGTAGGGAAAGACCCTTTGACGTAATACTGATTAGAAAATTAGATGCAAAAATTTTAATTACTTTTCACTTGATTTATTTTGCTCTTTCTGCATTGGAGAATTTCGTATCCTCCTGGAAGTTGTACATTCTCTCTATTTTCATAAAAATTTCTTTGTTCTTATAAAAAAAGCATGAAAAATATGCCTCAAGGGAAAAACTTACCATAGGCATTTCCAATCTGGTTTTGATTTTTAAACCCAGCAGTAACAGCAATGCAAAGAATCATGAGGATCCAATTGATATCTGGAATGTAAATCTGGCCAAGGAACCTCTTTGATGTATGTACAACTTTGACTCTTGGGAAACAGCCATGAGCAAGGGCTTGTTTAATAACTGAAAAGGTTGCGGATATCGTGGCCTGGCTTGCAACTATAGCTGCGGCTGTTGCAACAACAAATACTGGCCAGTATATTCTGTCTGCAGAACTAAGGATAATCAACATATAACAGATACAAAAATTACTACATGGAGGAAAAAATGTGCATCACTCTTAAGAAAGAAATGGAGGATTCTTGTAATAGGTTTATATCCAAAAACATTATGCAAACTATAAAGAACCAATTCAACCCAAAAGCTTAAGCTATTGAGTGAGGTTATATTAATGGTTTTTTATATATCTCAACACGCCCCCTCACACGAAAGCCCACTGGGCTTGAAGAGTGGACAATTCACAGGCCCACCTACCTGTGAGAAGAAAAAAATTCCACTTAAAAGAAAGTGGGGGCGGTAAAGATCGAACCCGGGACACGAGGCTCTGATACTATGTAAAGAACCAATTCAACCCAAAAGCTTAAGCTATTGGGTGAGGTTATATTAATGGTTTTTTATATATCTCAACACAAACTTAAGCAGTAAGGCAAACAAGTCCAAATGATTGAAAGCATACACAGACAGGACACAAGCTTATGCATAAGGGTCAAGATGACAGTCACTTAAGTTGAGCCAGCCAGGTAAATAAGTCCCAAAAACGTTCGGCAGTGAAAATCCAAGAATTTACTATGAAAATTGACTTGTCTAATTTGGCGATGAAGTTATTTATTGTAACCTGCAGCTTTAGGTATATCTAGACTATAGCAAGTCTTTAGGGAAACTGAACTACGACATAAAATTTTGTATTTCTTTTAATAATTAATTGTATGAGCAACCATGTCAACCATTTTTTAAAATTCACTAGTCATACGCAAAAAATGTTTCTGTAATAACTTAAAAAAATCATTTAAAAAAAATAATTGACTATTATCTTTGAAATAGAAATTTATCATAAATTAGTCAACATAAACTATCGAAAAGAGAAAGAAAGAACTGAAATATATCATGTCCACTAAGAAGTTAGTAATAAGAATAAGGCAATATAACTGTTGATCATATTCTGAATACCACACGTGCATTACAAATGGAAATTTCAATGTAGAGTAGCAAATATGACAAACCTGGAATAGAACGATAAAAAGCATCTCGTGAATGACTCAAGTTATTCATAAGGTAAGCAGCCTGTCCAGAATAGGCTAAAAGAAGGCAAGGAAACACAAGTAGAGTAAATGCAATCTGTACAGATGAGACTGGAAAATGGGCTAGGTCAGCAAAAAGAGCCTCTGTCCCTGAAATATGATATCACAAGTTGTCAAGTTCAGATCTACTATTCACTACATTTATTAATAATTCTGAAATACAATGAGGAAATAAACAGTTATAAAAACTGAATGTACCCGTTATACAGAGCAATATACCACCGAGGGAAGTCCAACGGTCTTTACCTCCTCTTCTTAGGTACCGATATATATATACAGGTGAAAAAGCTCTTAGAACACTGCTGCCATAGTACCAGAGGTTGAATATACCTATACCTCCAATTAGGAGAAACCAAAGCAGGACAATTGGAGCAAAGAGCCAACCAACTCTATCTGTACCATAATGTTGCATGCTGAATAACCCAACTAATATTACAACAGCAACCAGCACAACTACTCCTGTAATGCAGAAAAAATAAGCTTTTCAAGACTAAGAACTTAAACTCAGACAAACACAAAACCAGAATACTTGTACACATAATGGTAGAAATAGAAGAAAAAAAGCACTGTTACAGGTGTAGGGCCATACCACTACTCAAATCAGGGTGATTCACCTTGATGCCGCCAACAGCAGATAAAACTGCAACAGAAGATCTCATAATGAATATCTTGAATTAACTGGAGATGTATTTAAGATGATACTCAAGCGGAAAAAGCCAGCTGCAGCAAAAGCATTTTGTCTAGAGCCCTATACAGTACAATACACATAATAGATAAATGAAATAAAAGGTCTAAAATATACAATCTCTAAATCATCCATACGAAAGTTTTCATAATATATTCTATCTTATAAATATAATTCTTCAAACAAGCACCATAGGACCAAAACTTATGCATGCACACCTCCTGAGGAAACAGAATTAACAACTAAGTTACAACATTCAAACTGTATACAAAAATCCACAAGTTAAGAATGTGAGACAAATTAGCTGCATTCAGTTAAAACAAAGTGTCTTCGGGTCCTCCAAGCTGTCTCCTGATTATTGAAGATATGACCATCCTTCTCAACCTAATGGCTCCAAGTAAGCAGATTGCAGACAGAATAAGTGCTAGGAAAAGCTGAACCGTCCCTAAACTAAATTTAAGGTACATGATAAATTCATTATCATTTGAGTTTGTCATGAACCAACTCTCCCAAAAGCTTAAGTTGTTAGATGAAGACAAATGAACAGTTTTAATATTATATCTCTGATATGCCCCCTCACACAAAAGTCCTCTGGGATTGAAGTGTGGACAATGCCCAGACCTACTTACCCTGTGCTGAAATTCAATTTTTTATTAGAAAAATGGGGGTGACAATGATCGAACTCTAGACTACTTGATCATATAGACTCTGATACCATGTCATTAACCAACTCTCCAAAAAGCTTAAAATGTTAGGTATATGAATGGTTTTTATATTATATCTTGAACAGATCCTCACACCAAGTATCTTTTTGGCAAACTCCATAACCAAAGAATGCAAAACTTGTTCTTATTTCGTCATTGCAAGTATATAGGATTATTAGCCTTATTGTCAATGAGCTTGGACTTGTGCTATTAATAGAACTAGTACTTGACTCTCTCTTTTTGGTTACATGTACTTGACCTAATTATTGGTATAAGTAGGAGCATTAAGTTAGGGTATTGTATGACATCCATATATCAATCTCACATCATATTGCAATCCGTCTTTTTTCTTTTCTTTCTTCTCTACCTAAACCCTATAATTTCAACATTCATGTCATATACTCAAAAAATATGACAAATCATAATTATTTTCCATTTTTTTCGTTAAATCCTTCCGATTCCTAGGTGAGGCCACTTGCAACAAAAACTGAATCTTTAGTAGAACCTGGCATACATATATTTAGGAGAGGTACAATCACAAGCATTAGCAAGCCTTAAATAACTCCTAGCACCTTCTCTTTTATTTTTGTATCATTTTATCTTTCTCACCACAATAAAACAAAATCATAATAACATATCAATTATCAAATAAAGCACAGACAAATTTAAAATACTCAATCATGTTTAAGCTTAGAAAGTCCTACTCCCAAATGGCCCGGTTCACCATTAACTCAAATAGAACATCAATAAGGTTGATTTATCTGATGTAGTGAAAAGGGATTTGAATACTATTATTAGATCGAAAGAAAAAATATTGCATTCTTGTGGTTTTTAGTGAACTGTATCTGTGTAGATGACTAATTTTAAGTCTCCCAATGATATTTCAAAAGTACATATGGCGAGTGTTGAGAACCAACTCTCCCAATGCCACCTCACACAAGAGCCCTTTGAACTTAGAGCATGGACAATGCACAAGCTTGCTCTACCTTTTGCTGAAATTCAACTTTCTTTTTATTAAAAGAATGGGGGAAGCAAGGATCGAACTCTTGATGATTCTGTGATTGAGGCTTTTATACTATATAATGGAGTAACTATCCCAAAAGCTTAAATTGTTAGGTCAACACCCATTAATAGTTTATTATATCTCGAGCAGTGAGAATTAGATAATATATATAGTGATGAACGGAATAGAGCATTCAGCGCATGGCTTCAAGTCAAGGTACCAGGAGAAATAGCAGAATTATCCGTAACTGCAATTTATGAGCAAACTATGGGCTAGTAGCATGCAAAACAGCAATGTACTAAGACATTGTATTCTAGGTCCTTCCCAAGCTACATGTACACCTCTTTTGCTGAGTCATTTAGTACCAAGTAATCTATAAGATCATTCAAAATCCTACCAATTTCAAGTTATATTCCCATCACTGTCCTTTTTTCACATCTCATACAATGATTTTATGGTTTCCCTTCAATCTGGTAAATTTGCACAAATGAGACATAAAATACAAAAGCATATAAATATATTGACAGAGAGCCTCGGTAAATAGAAAGAGTCAGAAACATAACAAATATATAGGAATAAGAAGATCAGCTTCAGACTGAAGGCATACCAGAGATAGCTGGGGTAAGAATCCCATCTCCAATCACCATGCAGGTACCAACAAGAACGAGAATAAGAATGGTATTTTTAATAAATGCTTGTTCCTCTAACCATCTTTTGGTTTTTGCAGCAAATGACCTTTCGGGTAAGGTAGACCGGCTATATGTTGTTAGCTCTTCATCAGTACGATGCTGGTTGGGAATGATTTTTATCTTTGCATGTCGGCAGAGCAAGGAATAAAGAGCCAATGTTCCTCCTGCTCCATAGATGTAAGTTTGGTAAAACTTAGTTGCAGCTCAGCATTGTCAAACAGACAAAGCAGTGTCAAATAGACATATACGTCCAATAAGCCATATAGAAATACCAGTGTGCTTTACTTAGTTATTAAAGGAAACCACTTAGATCTTTAAATAAAGAGTTAGCTTGCACATGATATCTCAAGCATTATTCGCTCTAGACTAGACTAAGTAGCTGATATACCAACACTAAAGTATACTGTGATTAACAAAATTCTGCTGATAATCCAGGAAAGGCATCAAGGGCAGGTAAATTTTCAGGTATTAAGATTTCCATCTCTTTTTAGATTTGGGTCGGTCAGGTATGATCATATAACATAAAAATCTTTACTACACAGAGTGTATGCTATGGTGATCTATGAAGCACCGATACGGCGTTTTCGATACGTTCTCGATGATACAGGATGTCGATTACCATACAATACGAGTCCGATATGTTTCCGATACGCGTATTCAATACGTTGGAAAAAAATTTAAGGAGTATTGGTGCTTCATAGATGGTGATCTTCTTTGCAGAAAATATCATTAAAATAGATAAATGAGCTGATTATCACAGCATAAAGTTATAATACATGATTTAAGATTTCCTTGTCCAATCATAAGTATCTTAATTACCAAAAACAAGCAAAACAGTATATACCTTGACCGTTGTCATTTGCTCTTAATACAATAAAAACATATTTGAGCAGTGGCACCAGAGTAAGAGAGTATATAATCAAAGAAAGAGCTCCGATCAAATCCTCCTTATCTTTAACTCCGTCAGGAAATATACTATAGAAAACATACAAGGGGGAAGTGCCCAAATCTCCATAAACTACTCCAAGACTCTGATATGCAAGCCGCAGAAGCAACAGCGTAGAAAACTTCTGAACAAAAACAACATCAAGAAGGAATTATACACCAAATTCCAGCAGCTAACATAATATCTTGTTATTGGACCTGTATAAGAGAATTAGAGAGTGAAGAAATCCAGATTGAAAGTTTACCTTAAAAATCACTTAATAGGTATGTTAGCCTACTCAACATTTAGATTACATACTAGAATTTATAGTGTTTGAATTTGAAATGAGATTAACAGCTTTATTTCAAATATATGCTATGAAATGTGATTTAGAGAAAAAGGTCTTTCTTGTGCAAATAAAGTTTTGTTACTGTTGTTAAAAATATACAACCATTCAAATGCCATCTAAAAGCTTGAGTGTTTAGGAGTTGGTTCTTGATTTCAGAGTCTCTATCACCAGGTGGTCAAAAGTCTAGTCCTTGGTGCCCTCATACTTCAACTCTACTTCGTAGCTTAAGCTTTGATACCATGCCAACGACCAACTCACCTAAAAGCTTAAGTTTAGATGGAGACCTAGGAAAGGTTTTATATCTCTAACACACTCCCTCACCCAAGAGTTCTTTGGGAATGTCCCATGAATAATGCATATGGCCACTTTACCTTATGCTGGAATTTAATTTAGTTATGAAGAATATGGCAACAAAGATTGAAATTCTGACCACTTAGTTATCGAGGCTCTGCTATTGTATCAAGGACTAGCTCTCTAAAAGCTTAACATTGTATTGATGCCTTTATAACCTACTGGTCAGGAAATTGATCCTTGCAAACCCATTATTAGAAATATAATATAAAAATCATTCATATGTCTTCACCCAATTGCTTGAGCTTTTCGGAGAGTTGGTTCATGACACCCATTATTTATAATTAAGTTGAATTCTAGCACAAGGTAAAATAGGCTTGCGACTTGTCCTCACTCCAAGCTCAAAGGGCTCATGCATGAGCAAGAGCAAGTTTGTTGAAGATATAAAACTATCAACATGCCTCCATCTAAGCTTAAACTTTTTGAAGAGATAGTCCTAGATTATTGCTAATTTATTAAGCGCTAGAAAAATGACTGACGAGAAAAAGGAGTCAATCAAAATTGAAGATTCCTTGTGATTCATATCTACTTTCTTTAAAGTGACTTTTGGACATTGCATGAATTGCACGAGCATATCTACTATAATGTCGCGACTACCTAGCATGAATAGCATATTAGCAAATGCCTTGTGATTCAAGACAAAATAAGATATATGCATTCAAGGAGTAGTAGGCTGGAAGAAAAAATTAAGGATAGCTACATTATACATTTTTTTTTAAAAAAAAGAATGGCCTAAATAAACAAAAAATGAATTCAGCAAGAGAAAGAGAAAGAGTGTTAAAAGGAGTTGCATCATACTTTTTCTCTGTACATATTTCTTAGCCTTCCTGCTTCTTCATCCATTGGCTGGTCAAGCTTCTGATCCAAAACCCACATACTACCTTTGTTATCACTGTCTTCATCAATCTCTACCGTTGAATCCATTTAGAGCTCAGTTCAATAACTTCCAACTACTACGTGCTGCCTGATTCCCCTTGTCCTCGGTTCCTCTACCCCTCATGAAAAAATACATGGAGAACATTAGTAACAAAGCGTTAACTCGTACAGTTACCCCCCAAAAATTAAAAAAATAAGAACAAAGTGAACGCATGAAATCCATGCCTACTCAAACCAAGGGTCCAAACTAACCTATAAAATCTGGAAAGGCAAGCAAAGTTTAAGATTTTACTCAATGGTTCCATCAATTCAACAACCACCATATCTTTGAAGAAGAAGAAGAAGAAGAAAAAAATCCAATATAGAATCAACATATAATCTCCACGGCTACACCATAGACTGGTCCAGCCTCTAACATTAACAAACTATAGAATAGTTTATTTTGCCAAGACTGGGAAAAAAAAAACAGCACGTGCTAGGATTAGATTATATTGCTTTTCAGCAAAGCTCAAAAATCAATAAATAAATAAAATCAAAATGGTCAAGCGAAAGCTTTTGGCTGAAAGCATCTTTTGAATGGAAAATCAGATAATGAAAACATGAGCCGAGATTGAGAATTACTAGTACAACTTCCAAATACCTATATATATATATTAATCTCAAATTTCAAAATTGAAACCCAGAAATGCAAATTCAAAAATTGCTCAAAGCTGAAAACAAAGCCTCAACTCACCTGACACAAGACCTGGTACTTGTCACCTACAAGGTTGTTTAGCATAAGTAGTTTGTTTGAATTAATTTGGTGTCAGGTTCATGAGGTTCATGAAGCATGAAGAAAACAAAGTTCGATGATTGAGGAAGAGAAAACCAAGAGCGTAACGAAAACACTTAAATATAGATTATTCTCTGTGTGCAGCCTGTCAGCGTCTCTTGGTACAGACAAATTATGTCTGACCAAGAGAGAGATAAACATGCCACAAAGAGAGCCACTTGCTTGTGTTTTTTTTTATTATTATTATTATTATTATTAATGAATGTTATCATTATGTTTGCTATTATACTTATTCGCTGAAATGAAAAAGACATGAATGGGATAAGTTCGGTTCCAACTTCCAACTTGTTTTTACTTTTTTTTCAATTGGCGATGCCTTAAAATAACCAAAAACACAACTCAGTGCTTTTCTGACGACATCGTCAACCGCCATTGATGTTATATGATGGTATAATAATATATAAAAGGATGACTTAACAGTTATTTTAGAAACGAAAAATAATAATAACACAACTTAGCGCTTTCTGATGAGATCGTCAACCGTCATTCATGTTATATGATGGTACAAAAATATATATAAAAGGATGAGTTAACAATTATTTTAAGAAACTTGAGTGAAAAAAAAATAATTGGCAGGATTATTTAATATTGGTGTTAAATTAAAAATTTTGATTCTAAATTTTAACGGTTAATTTTTTGCCAATACGATGATTATAACTTATTATGTCACATTTATTTAATTAATTAATAATTTTTAATAAATTATAACTATCAAATGACAGAAATTAATGATTGAAATTTGATATCAAACATTTTAATTTAACACTGATGTCAAAAATCTTATACCAAAAAAAAAATTGGGAGAACTTACCAAAACAAATATTAATAATACAGAGGACTTATCTCGCAATTTGATGTACATATACTTGAGTCTCCTACTCAAACTGAACTCAATTATTATTAGACCCATTATAGCGTGGTTTTTCTAAGCCCATTTTTTCATTCTCAAGCTTAAACTCAGATTTTTGGTTAAGGAAAACAAATTCTTTCTCACTTGAATTAATAATTATTGATATAGATATATAATTATAAATTGTAATAAATACTACTGTTTAAAATGTGGAATCTAATTATGCGAAAAGTACATGAATATAAAAAATGATGTATTTGTAATTTATTAAAAGGAAAAAATATTTTTGCTTTTGCTTTGTTGCAGAAAAAAAATTTATGACACACTTACATAAAATTGAGAGGATCTCATTGTAAAAATAAGAGAAAGAAAATAATAATAAAATTGGAAAAACATTATCTACTTTTGCAGGAAAGTATATTTTCATTCCTACTCATGGATCGAAATTTGTGCCATATTTTTTTGTTTGTTGTTTTGAAAAAAATGGTAGGACCCATGTGTTTATGTATCTGTAGGAACCGTGGTTATCATATGTGACAGAAAAGTAACGCCCAATAAAATTCATTCACTTTTACATGAGTGCAATAGACAAAAATAAAAATATTAAACCCTTACTTATAATCATTGAATGATCAATATAAAGTAAATTCTTTATAAACATGGTCTTGGCACATTGAATGATAAATTTTAAGTAATAATCATTAAATGATCGTCATTAAGTGCATTGAAGGACGAATCTTAAGATTTTAGTGCTAAGAATTGGACTTGGGCTTCAAGTGTTCACTTACCTCAAGCAGAGGTGGCAAAGTGGACGGCCTGTCCCGCGTCACTCCGTTATCAATTCGTCAAAAATTGAACTAGTCCATCCCGTTTCGTTTTTTGGAAGTGAGCTGAAAAATTCAGTCTGCCCTGTCCCTTTGGCGGGTGGCCCGCCAGCCCAAGCTTATTTTACAATGACTCGTCTCGACCCGCCATCAACTCACCAAAAATCGAACCCGCTCCACCCCATCCCATCTCATTTTTGAGATGGGTTGAAAAACTCAACTCGCCCCACCCTGTTTAGCGAATGGGATGGATTAGCCTGCCGAACCGAGCTCATTTTGTCGGCTCTAACCCCAAGTAATTCTTGCACACGCCAAACACATGCCCGAGACGTTTGCCAACAGCCAAAATCATCAGCAGCCTTGCCAACTCCCACTTGTGCGTCCTAATGAGTTATGAGTGTACCTAACGCCTTTTAAAACACTTTAATAATAGGGAAAAAAAAATTATTCCGCGATCCTAATTATTCCTATGAAGTCAATCAGGCAGAAAAAGGAATCCACACATATATGAAACTAATCCCGAATAAAACAACATGACCCGTCCTTTTTAACAATTCATCCGTCCTAAAATTCATATTACCATTTAAATCAACTCTCTTTCATAAAAAATTTCTATATCCCCTAACATTGCTCTGCCTATGGTCCATTCACGAAACATCAATAAAAAAAATTTCTAGAAATTATTTGGCACCTCGTTTTTTTAATTTAAAAGTTAATTTTAAGTTAAAATTAAAAATTATTTGATAATTATATAAAAATTTTAGCTTAAAAATTCAAATTAAAAATAAGCTAATACAATTTAAAAAAAACTCCTCCTAAGAATTTTTAGTTTTTGACTTTTTTCTTCGTTATAAAAAAAAAACACTTTTTTTATTATAAAACTTTCATAAAAATCTGCTTAACCTAAGAGCTACAACTCCATTCTCTAGTTCATTCATGAAACACCAATGGGATCAATTCAATTTATGGAGAAAAAACTACAGCTTGTATCACACTCGAATTATTTGAATTTGATGATAATTTACACCAATCAAATCATTCAATTGATTACTTGATTAAACCCTGAATTCATCAGGTCCTCTCTCGTAATCCAACTATCATGTCCATTCTGCATTGTCCCCCTCAATACTTAAAATATCATCATCATTACTTACCACCATTTTCAACACATGTACAATATCAAGTTTGCCATCCTTTACAGTGGTGCCCAAAAAAAGAGAACTCACATGTGCAAAACATTTACACTGAAACTAAACATTACATCTCATCAGTTACAATGATTGATACAATAGATATAAATACATAATAACTGTGAAGAAATCTTTTTAAGAGAGAGGGAGAGAGAGAGAGAACCTAGGATCTTTTGTCATTAAAGAATATGGACAAGATGGTATATTACAAATATTTTACAATTTCAGAAAAATTCAGTATGAAGAGAGCTACACTATACTAGAGTGAGATATAGGCTATTCAAATTTCAAACAGCAACTGGTGAGGGAGACGAAGGAGGGACCCGATTTTCAACTGGAATTTCAACAAACTCGGACAGGAGAGCCCGGAATTCATCTCCAGACATTGTCTCCTTCTCCATTAGGACTTCCACAATCTTATCAATGGCCTCGCGGTTGTTCCTTATATGGCTCAATGCAATTTTATATGCTTCATCTGAGATCCTCTTTACAGCAGCATCAATGTCTTCAGCAAGCTTTTCTGACATTGAGTTTCTTGCCATCATTCTCATGATGACATCTGCACTTTGAGCTGAGGTGTCCATAAGTGACCAAGGACCAATATCAGACATTCCAAATGTGGTTACCATCTGCAAGAGTATCATTCACATTTATTGAAGCACAGGTGTGACAAAGATACAAGTCAGAAGGATAAGGTAGGAAAATAAAAAAGATTATTTTTTTTTTAATAACGATAAATTAAAAACTTGCCCCTTCAAAATGAAAATTTTCATTCTATCAGTTAAAGCCAAAAATTTCTAGTTTCAAGCATTAAAGCAATCTTATGACATAATTTAATGTCAAGTCTCACCAATTAATTAGAGCTAACAAAAAAAACTACGAATGTCCTAAGAAAATATAACCAAATTGAGATTAAATTACCAACTCAGTAGAATCTAAATTACTAATAGCTTTTATCCCCGCCAAAAAAAAAAAAAAATGAGGGAGACATAACGCAATACAACAGAATATTATGTCAATGAAGTAGACAACAAGTACCTGTTTGGCCAAACTGGTTATTTGCTGCAAATCACCAGCTGCTCCAGTTGTAACCTCAGGCTCACCAAAAATAATTTCCTCTGCAGCTCTGCCACCTAGTCCACCAACAATTCTTGCAAAGAGTTGTTGTTTGGAGATCAGAGTTGGGTCATCAGAAGGAATGAACCAAGTAAGACCCCGAGCTTGCCCACGAGGAACTAGGGTTACCTTTTGTACAGGATCATGACCAGGAGTCAAAGTTCTGCAAGTACAAATAGATATTTCAGAACAACTTTTTTTGTTATTGTTTGCTAAAACAGCTTCTAAATGTTAATCATTGCTTTTTTTTGGATTGCGCTCATGTACAAGTGTAACACGAATTCATAAAGGCAATAACATCTTGCTTCTATTACAATCTTGCACAACATTTACTTGAAAGACAAAACTAAAGCCTAATTTCTGGCTTACCCACAAATGGCATGCCCAACTTCATGATATGCCACTAAACTTTTGCTCTTCCCATCTGTCATCACTGTTCCTTCCATTCCAGCCACAATCCTATCAATAGAATCATCAATCTCTTTGGATGAAATTGCCGTCTTTCCACGCCGACCAGCTAATATAGCAGCTTCGTTCAAGAGGTTTGCAAGATCAGCTCCACTAAAACCGGGTGTTCTCATTGCAATTACCTCAAGAGAAACATCAGTATCAAACTTTTTATTGCTACCATGAACCTTTAGGATTTCAGTCCTTCCCCGTATATCTGGAACATCAACTGTTACCTGCAAAGGAATTATGTTCAGTGATTTTCTCATTAATAAATGCATTAAGCATTTCCTAATATAATCTTACCTGTCTATCAAACCGTCCCGGTCTTAATAAAGCAGAGTCAAGAATGTCAGCCCTGTTAGTTGCTGCAATGACAATAATACCAGTATTGCCCTCAAACCCATCCATTTCGGTCAAAAGTTGGTTGAGGGTCTGTTCCCTTTCATCATTCCCTCCACCAATTCCAGTACCTCTTTGCCTTCCAACGGCATCAATTTCATCAACAAAAACAATACAAGGAGCGTTCTCTTTGGCCTTCTTGAATAAATCACGGACTCGAGAAGCACCAACACCAACAAACATCTCAACAAACTCAGAACCTGAGATTGAAAAAAATGGAACACCTGCTTCACCTGCAATAGCC